CCAGAGTGTTGTGAGAAATGGAAACCGTGTAATTTTTTTTTTTATAAGTTTTTTTTTTAATTTTTTTTCAACGTTTTTTATTTTATTTTTGGGACAGAGAGAAACAGAGCATGAACGGGGGAGGGGCAGAGAGAGAGGGAGATACAGAATCGGAAACAGGCTCCAGGCTCTGAGCCATCAGCCCAGAGCCTGACGCGGGGCTCGAACTCATGGACCGCGAGATCGTGACCTGGCTGAAGTCGGACGCTTAACCGACTGCGCCACCCAGGCGCCCCGAAACCGTGTAATTCTTGAGCACAAATCTGCCTTGTGCTTTGTTCGGTCTCCCTGGTCCTGTTCTCATCCTGTTTTTTACTAAGGGAAACCTCCACAGGGAGTGTGGACAATAAAGAACATGTATGTGCTTCAGCCTATGCCATCTTGGGATATTTTATGGTCACCCATGACCGTGTAAAATATGGAATTGGGATCAGATGTCCTCTCTCCATTTGAGTGTTTGGACGGGTGAATCTAGGGGTTGGGGGGGGGTGTGCTGTTGAGGCCTTTGGAGCATTCGCTGCTCTCGGCAGATGCAGCGGCCGTTATAATGGGGGGCCTTTCATGGGCATCCAGGCTAACGGATTTTTGCGGAGAAATGGTCATTGTTCGTATAAGCTGCTACTGTTGTTTCTGTCAGTTCTCTGGGTGAGACTGTCCTTTCTGGCTGCATCCTATTCAGAGCATGTTTCCTTTTACAGGACCGAGCCTAATCTCCTGCCAGCTTTCATTACCCTCTATCCTTCCAAATGAAAATGAAAAGGTCGTGCAGCTGAATTCCTCCTTTTCTCTGCGATGCTTTGGGGAGAGTGAAGTGAGCTGGCAGTACCCCATGTCTGAAGAAGAGAACCCCAATGTGGAAGTCAGAAATGAAGAAAACAACAGTGGCCTTTTTGTGACGGTGCTGGAAGTGGTCAATGCGTCGGCGGCCCACACGGGACTGTACACTTGCTATTACAACCACACTCAGACGGACGAAAACGAGATCGAAGGCAGGCGCATTTACATCTATGTCCCAGGTGAGCTGTGGTGGGTCCCCTGGGCCAAGCTTCTGTCCCTGTCTCTCCTGTTAACTGTATTCAAGTTTTAAAAAATACAAAAATAGTAAATATCTATTGGAGAAAATGTGAAAAACCACAAGAGGACGCACAACGGTCAAGGTCATTTGTGACGCCGTTACCAAGAAATATGTATCGTAAACATTTTGGAAGTGTGTTAAGTTTTGGAAATCATTTTCATCGTGGCACACCTTTTTTTTTTTTTTTTTTTTTTTTTTTTGGCATTGTGCAAAAACAGCTGAAATGTACTCATTTTTGTTCAACCAAGTTTGACAAATATCTACTGTTTATTTATTGCATGTCAGGCACTATGCCAAGTGTTGGGGACGCAGATATTAGGTAGGTCCTCTCTTGGAGCTGCTTGTAGTTCGTTCTAATAGCTTCCAAATAACCGGGCTATTTTTCAGATTGAATAAAACATATATTTACTCTTGATTAATTAGATGGGCTTTTTTTTTTTCTTTTTAATTAAAATTTGGGGGCAAATTCCATACTAATGATGTTGTCTCCTGACCTGTGAGATGCAGACGGCAAGATAGGAGTAAGACGGGATTAAACACGCTAGGGTTTGATTAGGGGAGAAGCCTGTGGGAGAAAATGGGGTGGGGGGGACGCCGCAGAGCCTGCGAGGGCTCTCTGCCAGCACTGTACACGCAGTCTGTGGCTGTGGCTGGCCACACCTCCGGAGGGCGTGGCCTTAGCTTGTGATGGATTTCAGGGCCTGCCCCCTACAGTGGAAGATTGTGTGGCTCTTTCTCACAGCAGCCCTGTGAATCAGCTAGGCTTAGCTGTGAGCTTGAGGTTCATTTGGTTTACCACCCACCTGGCATTCCTCGTAAGGATCTAAATCTAAATCTGTATATATGTCTCTATCTGTATCTGCATCTTTGTCTATATCTCTATCTAAATCTATATCATGTATTTCATGTATATCTGTATCTATCTATATCTGTACCTATATCTGTATCTGTATCTATACCTTTATGTCTATATCCATAGCCATATCTGTGTATCTGTATCTGTACCTGTATTGGGTACCTGGGTGGTTCCGTTGGTTGAGCATCTGACTCTTCATTTCAACTCAGGTCATGATCTCACAATTCCTGGGATTGAATGCCCCACCTCCAGCTCTTGCGCTGACAGCACAGAGCCTGCTTGGGATTCTCTCTTTCCTTCTCTCTGCCCCTCCCCTGCTTGCACGCTCTTCTCAAATAAACTTTAAAAAATTACATCAGTATTGGAGTGCCTGGGTAGCCCAGTCGGTTAAGCGTCCGACTTCGGCTCAGGTCATGATCTTGTGGTTCATGAGTTCGAGCCCCACATCGGGCTCTGTGCTGACAGCTCAGAGCCTGGAGCCTGCTTCAGATTCTGTGTCTCCCTCTCTCTCTGCTCCTCCCCTGCTCGTGTTCTGCCTCTCTCTCTCTCTCCTTCAAAAATAAATAAAAACATTGAAAACAATTTTTAAATTACATCAGTATCTGTATTTATGTATTTGTACCTGTGTCTGTACTTAGATCTGTATTTAGATATACTTAGATAAGACTTAGATTTTTACCAATATCTATATCTGTATATATTGGCTTCTACAAGGATAGTTGTTAGAGGAAGGACCATGATGTTTTTTTAAACATTGCATAGCAAAAATAAATAAATAAATAAATAAATAAATAAATAAATACAAACAAACAAACAAACATTGCATAGCTAGTGCATAATGGTAGGGAAGCTGTGCATTAAAAAATTTTTTTTTTCAACATTTATTTATTTTTGGGACAGAGAGAGACAGAGCATGAACGGGGGAGGGGCAGAGAGAGAGGGAGACACAGAATCGGAAACAGGCTCCAGGCTCCGAGCCATCAGCCCAGAGCCCGACGCGGGGCTCGAACTCACGGACTGCGAGATCGTGACCTGGCTGAAGTCGGACGCTTAACCAACTGCGCC